AGACCTGCAAACATTTACAAGTCGTTTTTCACATTCTTAGAACCCATGAGAAATCAGAAGTAGTATGACATCGCCAGATGAAAGTGTAGGAAACAGATTTCATCACACTATGCAAAATAGTAAATGAAGAACATTTAGAGATAACATACTAGTGATGAGATTCATTACAGCCTGGGCTCCTTATCAGCCATTTTTCAGATGCCAAATTTGTGGCTTTTAGAGAAGCTACTTTGTTATTAAACTTAAAACATGTTAAATTGTGTTTGCTGCAGTTGCATCATTGATACTGAATTTATAAATTTCCTCTAGTCAGAATCTCAGTTTACTTTCTCCATCCATTATCTTTTCCATGTTTTATTCTTCTTGAGGAAACTTCTTGAGGCTGGGGCGGGTGAGAGTTTAAATTGTAGATTTAGGAGGAGGAAGGATGATTACAAATCCCTAAGGAGGTTATCCCTCTAAGCTTCCATCAGAGATTTGTGAGTTAGGAACTAATGGTCCTCATCGTACGGGGAATCATTAGCTTCTCGTGTATACTGTAATAATAATAATACTCATCATTATTTCCAGAGGAATTTCAGGCTTTCCATTTTGGGTCCTCACCTAGCGCTGATTAGACAATCTTTAACTCATGAAGTTTGCTGGAAAACTGATGTCCATTTACTTTGTTGATGTGAACTCTTGCGTTTTGGCAAAGTTTGGATGGTGATAGTTTGCCCTGAGATCTCTGGCAGCATGTTATTTTCTTTGGGGAATGTAGGAAATGGAAAGATTCCCTTTGATATTTAAATGTTGAAGATTTGTACACTTCCCAGTGGTGTTTCCTCCCAGTACCCCAGAGTCATGGTGTTTGGCTGCCAAAGACTTGTAAGAAAAGAACAGCTTTTCTGATCCATTTATTCCATCTATTCCACTCAGTTCTGCTCACGTGCCCTGTGTTGAGCTCTTCTGTAGCAGAATTGTTGCTTTCCTCTGACTGGTCCTTGAAGGTCAGCCCTTGCTGAAGGTCATTCCCTCAGCTGACTGTTTCTGTTTCTTGCTGGCTGAGACATTTCAGCCAATGCCTTCGTTGTAGAAAGAAATCATGCAACTGTTTTTACAGCATACTTTGTCTGGTAATTAAAATAACCACAAGTACTGCGGTCACAAAGCTGTTCCATTTATTATAGTATACTATTTTAATAATACTTCAATTCTCAAAACTTATTCCTCTATTGACGACTGTGCTGAAACACACAATTTACTCTCATACTTGGAGAATAGTTTCCATTAAGGGTTAGATGTTTAAAAGGCATATTTTTCAGTGACACTAACTCTTTTCTTCTTACTCTATTATTTTAATCATTGCTGCCCTGGGTTTATAACTGTGACATCATCACGTCAGTAATTCTTACAGGTATAATGCCAAGTTATGTTATGCTTTTCAGCTCAAAACATTGCCATAGGATAAAACTAAATCGGGGTTAAAGAAACAATATAAAAGTAAATCAGAACAGACATTTATAGGGAAGAAATAATATTTTTATTGAATGGCCTACAGCAGCAGTGATGTTCAGAAATGGGAAAATGCCATCTTAAGAAAAATAGACAAATAATAGGAGACTTAGTTTGAAGAACCAAATACTTGAAATTCATAAGTTTTCTCAGTGTTATAAAACTTTTTTTTATCAAAAAGAGAGGCAGTTATTTCCTTATACACTAAGTCTGGTCTATATAAAACAGTGAAATTATGGAGTAAGCTGATTAGTTTAAGCAGCTGATCTAAATTAGTCTTGTACACCTTTACCCTCTGTATGTTTGGCTTCTCTATGTATTTGGCATCTGTTATTTATCTCAGTTAATGATGAATATGGGCAAAGATCTCTAGACTTAGATTATGACTGTACCTACCCAGGCCTAATGATAGAAGCTGAGATATTTTCTGACCATCCAGTTATGCCGTCATAATAGCTACTCAGTGTGATTTACTTCTAGGGGAGACAGCGTGATTGGAGGAATAGTAACCATTAAATAAAACTATTGCTGCTACTATGCCCTATTTCAGTTACTGAAAATACTAGCTTCAGAGTTATTTGACACAGTTATAGTGAACCATTCTAAAATGGTCTGGGGTATTCAGGCAAAGCCTATGAAGCCTTCGCCCGAAAAAGTTTTACATTAAGGCTGAACCTGGCTCTACACATTAGTTGCATTTACATGACAATTCACTAATTATTTATTTTATAAACTTTGGTCTGTGTCCTACAATGACTGGAAGGGTTTGTGGGCTCAGCTTATAACTGAAATAATCCAGTGATTATCCACAGTCAGTTATATCTACACTTAGTCCCCAGAGCTCAGTGCACAAGCATTTATTTGCTAAAGGAAGCCTGAAACTCTCTTCCTTTCTTTTTAATTTTAAAATTTTGTTAAATTTATTTTTTAATTGAAATACAGTTGGTTTACAATGTTGTTAGTTTCTAGTGTTTAGCAAGTATGATTCAGTTTTATATATATATATGTGTGTGTGTGTGTGTGTGTATTCTTATTCCTAGTCTTTTCTGTTATGTTTATTACAGGATATTGAATATAGTTCCCTGTACTATACAGTAGAATCTTGCTATGAGTCCCATTCCTGGGTATATATCTAGGGAAAAGTATCATTTGAAAAGATACATGCACCCCAATGCTCATAGCAGCACTGTATACAATAGCCAAGACATGGAAACAACCTAAATATCCATCAACAGATGGACTGGACAAAGAAGCTGTGGTATATTTATGCAATGGAATACTACTCAGCCATAAAAAAGAATAAAATAATGCGATTTTGTAGCAACATGGATGGACCTGGAGATTGTCATACTAAGTGAAGTAAGTCAAACAGAAAGCCAAATATCATATGATATCATTTGTATGTGGCATCCAAAAAATGACACGAATGAACTCTTCTTTCTTTCTTTTCTACTCTGTTCTCTCCCTTTTGGCTGCTACTTCTGTTTGCCCTTAGCTTTTTGTGCCCCAGGCCAAATTCCATTTATTCTTTGAGACCAAGGCTCTAAAATCCTGCTTGTTCTCATATACGGAACTGAATTTACTACACCCAGAGTTGACTTTACTAAGAGCAGAGCCTTCCTTTTTATACTTTAGATATGGGGGGGGAAAATCTTTGCATTTCTGATTTTTTAATTTAATTGTGTATGGGCAAAACTATCCTCTTAGGAACATCTCACCAACAGGATTTTCTACTTGCAAATGGAATTTTTAAAATCTGTTGATGTGATACATGCGTCGAACACTAGTTCTTGACAAAGAGGGCTCCTTTCCTGCTGTTTTGAGACTTCATCAGTCACATTTGCTGATGGAGGTCATAAAGCAGCACTGAAAACAGTAAGTTTAAAACATTCAGAAGAGCGCTGAAAGGTTTGAAGTTGAGGTTGGAAGGGCACACAATTAGCTGGGTAGGTTTTGGTCACAAGGTGTTGATGGAAGACTACAGTATCTTAAAAAGCATTTCATTGACTTTCAAAGAGAAAAAAGATCTAAGATAGGAGCAATAAACTGTATGCTTCACACCTTCACCTGATGGAGAAATGTGAGACTGTTGAAGGGACACTGCAAGAGGATAACAGGAGAGCTTATGTGGCAGTTCTAAGAGCCTGGTCATTAGCGGATTGATTATTGTATGCAAATCTGTATTTACTATCGGAGAATCACTGACTTTTGAAAAAGTCCTCCAGGCCTTTCTTAAAGCACAGAAGAAGCATCCCTAACACATCTGGGAGGCACCAAGGGTCAGAAAGGGCCGAGGCATTAACATTTGCTGTATGTATTCTGGAAAGTGGCAATAAGATATCTTGTTGTAATTCACATGGAATTTCTTTGAAAATATTATTCTGTCTCTTGCCATATTTAGTATTTTTAAAATTGTCTAATATTGTCTAGAGAAGGAAAAGTATGTGAATGTGTGGCTTCCAGATTCCTTCCAACTACCTTGCTATTGTCAGTTTAAATCATCAAAGTGACAGTTATCGTTTTTTGAGCTTTTATTAAGTGTGAGGTATTATACTAAGAATTCTATATTCCTTCTTATTTTTATCCTGGAAATACTCTCTTAATGCTATTATTATCTCGATTTAACAGAGAAGGAAATGGAAATAATGAACTTAAGCAATGTAAGTAGGCAAGTCATACAGGATTACACAGTCAGCAGAGGTTATCCTGGTCCTTTTTACCTTTCAAGGTCTGTCAAGGGCTATAACTCTCTGCAGAATTGAATTACAAGCTAAAATGAAAAAAAAAATTATACCTTGAGTCTTCTAAAAAAATTATAGGTAAAATGCCTAAAACATTAGCTGTCTGTAGAGAAATATAGGGAAAAACAGACTTCAGACATATATGAGGCCTGTAAAAGTGCAAGTCAAATATAAATGTAAAATTTTTATTTTTGCACATTTGTATTTCTTAGCTAGAACACTAATTTGATTCATGTTTATTTAGTTCATCTATTATATACCAGATATTCTGCTAGATCCTGGAAGAGTGTGTGTGTGTGTGTGTGTGTGTGTGTGTGTGTCTATCTATTCTTGACTTCAGTGAGTTAACTCTCTACAAAAGGAAGCAGAAACAAAGTAGTAAACCAAAAACTTACACATTGAGATAAGGACTATGAAGAAAACAAATGTGTTTGTGAGAGATAATAACAGACAAAAAGAACTAATTTAGGGAAATCTACCCTAAGAGTAAAACTTTAGGTGGAACTGAAGAATTAAAAAACAAATGAAAAAAATAAAATTCAAAGTCCTCACAGAAGGATGCTTGGAGTCATGGAAGAATCCGAAGACCACCAGGGCTGGAATATGGTTAACAGATAAGTTGATTTGAATGATGGTGGGTTAAGAATGCAGTTAAGCATTTCCAGTTATATCAAATGATTTCAGGAAGTAAAGCTTAAGGGATCTGATTATCAAAGGAGGCTTAATTTTATAGGCTCACTGTGAGCTGGCCTTGAGATGAGTTAAGGCCGTGGGACCCAAGGCCACGATCAGAGCATGTTTGTAGTATGCAGTAAATAATTGCTCCACGCATGCGTCAATTATATAAGGTTTAGAACAAGGAAAATAGAAGTACGCATGTGCTAGAGATATTCTGTAAGCCTAATGAACAAAGAAACTCAGACCGCGCATGTGCTGACAGAAAACAGATAAAAGCGGGACAGGTGCATAATAGGCGCGCACCTCCCTGTGGCAATAAAGTGTTGTTAACCCCATGGTGTCTCCGGCTGAAGTCTGTCTGGCGGTACGGCAACTCCTCATGCTTTTTTTCGTTTGGGCCGCTCACCTCCCAGAACTCCACGTCAGCCTCCCTTGGCTGACACTTTGCACTGTGAGCAGGATGAGGTGAGTGCCCCCTCTGAATCCCCTGCCCCTGACGGGGATGCTCTGATGGAAGCAAAGTGGCCCCCTACCTCTGTATGGTACCTGGTGGCCGCCTATTTGCTGACGTGGGCTCAGCCTCAGGATTGGGACACAGTGGTGTCCTGGCCAGGTGATGTCCGGAGGGCATTGGAGCTGTTAGAAAATAATGTCCCATTAGCCTACCAAGAGGCAGCCCGGAGGGTGGCCTGGATGTTCTTATCTGTTTTACGGCATGCTAGCCAAGACATGAGAGATTTACAGATGGAAGTGGAGGAGTTACAGTGCAGAGAAGAGGAGCTTAAGCAGAGACCCAGCACGACAGAAAGGTGTCTGCATGGTCCTAGCTCTGCCGCCTCTGAGAGCAGCTATGCCTGTGTAGCTCCAGTCCCACTGTCTCTGAGAGCAGTAAGCCTGACCCCTAGCCCCGTTCCACTGCATCTGTGGCCCATGGTGAGGCAGCAGGTGGAACTGGAGGAGCCCATGGCTCGGGGGGAGCTCCTGTGGGACCACGGTGAGTGACATACGAGTAAATGGACCAAGTATTTGGACTTAATGCAAGTTGTCTGAGAAATGGATGCACCAGATGATGTTCGCTTTGCATTTCCATAGTCTAAATGATGAGCTCCTTACAGTTTGAATGAAAGATTTGATTTTGGTTAATAGCCCAACGGGAACATTTGGGAGTATGGCGGCGCTACTAGTACCGTATGTAGACCACCCCATACGTGAAGTAACTGAGGCTCTGGCTCTTCTGGGGGACATGGAGGTGCGCCGAAAGGGGGTACGTGCTGCCAAGACTCAAGGTGATTCCAAGACCCCCTCCTCCCGTGCAGTGACTCAGAAAGGGAAGTCCACACAGAGGAGGAAAAAGGGGAATGCTCCAATTTTAGGAGGGCCCCAAGATCTAGATTGCCGGCAGATACGGTGTGATTTACGGGCAGCTAGCCTAAACCGTGTAAAATTACATGGCCAACCTTTGGAGGTGCTAATGGCCTTAAGGAAGCAATGATGGCCTGAGCAACAATATACTCCGTTGCCAACCTCCCAACAGGCCTGAGAGGTGGCCTTTGCTGATTTCCTCCCAGACTAGGAGGAAGGCCAAGGTGTTCAGGACGGGGGTGGGGGGCATCCCAGTGACTGGAGGCTACGTGTTGAGCTATCCACTGGTCCCCCATGAATAAACAGTGAATATTGGCACTAGTAGACACAGGAGCTGAAGTTCCATTGGTGCATGGAAATCTGGAACGTTTTCAGGGGCCATGGGTTGATACAGAAGGATATGGAAACAAGCAAATATATGTTAAACGAGAGACTCTGATTTTGGGCATTGGCCGTCTGCCCCCTGCTGCAAATGAAGTGCATATATCCCCAGTAGCTGAATATATTCTGGGGATAGACATTTTGCAAGGATTGCAAATACAGTTGACTCAAGGAGAATTTCACCTGAGAGTTCACGTGGTGAAAACAGTTATATGGGGGCATCCTCCACACGCACCTTTGATTTTGTCACAGGTCACACGAATGGTGGATGTCCGGCAATATCGATTGCCTGGAGGCCATGAGGAAATAGGACAGACTATTCTAAAGCTTCAGGAAGCCAGTGTAACTCAGGCTACGCATAGCCCATATAACTCTCCAGTGTGACCAGTGCAGAAGCCAGATGGCTCCTGGAGGATGACAGTGGACTATTGGGAACTGAATAAAGTCACTCCCCTCATGCATGCAGCTGTGATGAATATAACAGATTTGATGGACCGGCTGTCCCATAGACTGGGTACTTGTCACTATGTGGTTGACCTGTCTAATGCATTCTTCTCAAAAGACATAGTCCCTGAGAGCCAAGAACAGTTTGCCTTCACCTGGGAAGGCAGACAATGGACATTTGTTGTGTTGCCGCAGGGATATCTGCACAGCCCCACACTGTGCCATGGCCTAGTGGCCCAGGACCTGGCTACATGGAGCAAACTGGATACTGTTCATGTGTTCCATTATATAGATGACATAATGCTAACCTCTGATTTGCTTTCAGATTTGGAAACCAGTGCCACAGCGCTGCGAGAAGCCCTGGCGGGCTGGGGGTGGACCATGAACAAGGACAAAGTGCAAGAACCTGGATATTCTGTCAAATTCTCGGGTGTTGTCTGGTCGGGTAAGACAAAAGTGCTGCCTAAAGCAGTAATAGACAAGATCCAGGCATATTCCCGCCCTGAAACAATTTAACAGTTACAGACTTATTTAAGTCCTCTGGGATACTGGCAGGTATTTATTCCTCATTTGGCCCAAACAGCCAAACCCCTATATAAACTGATTAAAAATGGAAAAGTCTGGAATTGGTCTGATGAGACCAAATGTGCATTTGTTAAAACTAAGAGGGCGATGGCCCAAGCGCAAGCACTGCGCACTATAGATCCAGACCTCCCTTTCTGGTTAACAGTCCATGTGGACCATGATGGATATGGCTGGGGCTTATGGCAAAAACATGGGCAACGGAAAGTGCCCATAGGATTCTGGTCTCAGTTGTGGAAAGGGGCTAAATGTTGTTATTCTCTGATTGAGAAATTGCTAGCAACTTACGCGTCCTTGATTGCCACCGAACCCCTGACGGGGAAGCGAGAGGTCCAAGTGCAGACCACATGCCCTGTTGCAGGATGGGTACAGACATGGGCAAAGCAACCCCGATCAGGAACTGCCCAAACCCCAACTCTGACGAAGTGGGGTGCTTATTTGGAAGAGAGGGCCCAGTACACCGCTAGCCCCTTGGCTGCAGAGTTGCAGCAGGTGTTAGGGCCTGTGAGATTTGTTGCGCTGGACGTATAGATGCTCCCACAACAAGGGGTGGACCCTGTGCCCAGTCCCTTTCGTGAAGGGAAAGGGCCACCCCCAGGAACTGCTTGGTATACTGATGGATCTTGTAAGGGCAGTCTGCCCACTTGGGTTGCAGTAGCCCTGCACCCTGCCACTGAAGCCTTCTGGTATGAGACCGGAGAAGGCCAATCCAGCTAATGGGCTGAGTTACGAGCAGTATGGCTGGTGTTGATGAATGAACCTAGTCCCTTACAGATTTGCACCGATGGTTGGGCCATGCAACATGGATACTCCAATGGGCCCTGCAAGACTGGATGATTGGGCACCAGCCCCTATGGGGACAACAGATGTGGAAACAGTTATGGGATAAAGGCCAAGAAGGCCAGTATACTGTTTACCATGTACCAGGGCACCGCCCAGCCCTGGCACTGGGCAGTGATGCTGCTGATGTGCTAGCCCAGCTTTGCCCTGTACAGGCCATGGTTCCAGGACCCGACATAGGTCCCTGGCTCCATAAGAAACTTGGTCATGTAGGCTCATACACAATGAGGCAGGTAGCCGACCGATGGGGCCTGCACCTGAGCCACAGTGAAGCCAAAGATGTCGCGTGGCAATGTCCATGGTGGGCTAAGCACCACCTGCGCCGGCGGCAGTGGCCCCAACAGATGGGGAGGATTGCATGGAGAATTCAGCCATTGCAGGTATGGCAAATAGGTTACGTAGGCCTCTTTGCACCTAGTACAGGCTTGCGGTACCTGCTGCCAGCGGTAGACACCGCTACTGGTCTAGGTTTTGCTCACTATGTGCCCCGAGCTACACAAGACTCTACTATTAGAGCACTGGAAGTTTTACGGGCCTTTTATGGGACTCCCTGAAAAATACAAAGTGATACAGGGGCCCCTTTTACTGCCCAACAGACCTAGGAATGGGCCAAGGAAAATGATATTAACTGGATATTGCATGTGCCTTACCATCCTCAAGCAGCAGGAATGATTGAACGATACAACGGCCTATTAAAGGACAAACTGAGGGCTCTCAAACCACAAGGGCGAGGCTAAAACAGTGTCTTGCCGCAGGTGGTACATCTTTTAAATGAACAACCTACATACAGGTATGAGCCTACTAGAAAAGTTATTGCAAGGGACTATTCAGAGGCTCAGAGTTGGGCCCATGCAGAATGCCTCCGATGTCTCAAAAGTGGGGCACACATTAATATTACACTCCCCCAGGATGTTGAACTCGGGAAAACAGGACACCTGGACATGGAAGAATCAGGTCCAGACTGTTAGCCCCTGGCTAACCCTTTTGGAACCATGGGGTGATGGGCTAGAGAAAGCCCTGCAGGTAACCCCATGAGTGGGGGAATGGTCTTTTGATGTGCATGTTACTCTAGGGAAAGCAGGAGTGTCCCTACTTAAAGGAGCAGAAGCCCTACAGCTTTGGGCAGTTCCACTGGTAGCTCCTGAAGCTCTCCCAGAGTGTAACCAACCTAGTGTGGGTGGGTTGGTGTGGTACCACCGCCCAGGGCGAACAGCCGTTCGTGCGACTGTACTCTCACAGGATAAGAAAGTGGCTTGCATCCTCCCAGAAGAGAGAGGTTTGCCAATCATGGTGTCCACCTCTGCTCTGTCCTTCCGTCCAGGGTAACAGCAAATACCACGTTCTCCTGGGCACACACATTCACGCAAGTCCACAACGTCTCTCACTGTTGGGTCTATACTGAACTTCCCATAGACGCAGGAGATGGACTGCCATGGCACCTCCACCCCGCGTCCAGAGTTAATTGGAACACCTTGATTCAATGGAATGCCAACAGGACAGCGAGATCACCCTGGGACTTGCGGCGGCAGACTATTGAAGAGATACTCCGATGTGAGCGGGGCATTGCCTCCCCCCCAATTGAAAGGACTGTATGGAATGGGTGGGGATGGATGAATAGTGTTTATGTAAAAATGAGACATTTAAGCCCTCTCTGTATTGAGCAGCAGTTTGAACACAAGGCTCCAAACCGCACAGTGGGGTGGCTCCCAGAAGAACTATGTGCCAAAATTATTTATAATGTAAATGCCTCCACCTGGTGGGATGGACGACCTTTAATTGGCGTAAACCCCACTGATTTCTTGCCACCAGGGTACCTGTGGGTATGTGGCACCCACGGATGGTGTTATCTTCCAGCTAAATGGACAGGGCGCTGTACTTGGGGTAGAGCTTACTTGCCTGGACACATCTGGCCCATTTTAACAGAGCGCCCCACAAACTGGGACCCACTGCACACCCGGTGGCACCAGGGAAAGCATGCAGCTTGACAGTTTTATCCTATGGCCCTGTTCCTGCCTGGTGCTGGGACCATCAGTGTTGAATTGCAGGTAGAAGCTTTGGCTCAGCACATATCAGCTGTACTGAATGTTACTAGAAGAGTTAGAGAAATTGTTAGATGAGACTACCCAGATGCGAAAGGTGGTCTAACAAAATAGAATGGCATTAGATATTCTCACTGCAAGCCAGGGTGGCACATGTGCTATGTTACATATTGAATGTTGTATCTATATACCAGATCACCAGAAGAAAGTAACTAAGGCACTGCATGAAATAGATCAGGAATTGGATTGCATAGATCATGTAACTCAGGACCCCTTTAAAAATTGGTGGTCATCCTTGACGTCCTCCTGGAGATGGAGCTTAGCTGTCCTGGCTATTGTAGCTGCCTGTGTATTAGTAGGGTGCTGTACTCTATATTGTTGTTGTGGTTTTTGGGCACAATGCTCCGTCCTGTGGACTAGGGTCCCCAGGACCTAGGGGGTAAAATATGAGCTGGCCTTGAGATGAGTTAAGGCCGTGGGACCCAAGGCCACGATCAGAGCATGTTTGTAGTATGCAGTAAATAATTGCTCCACGCATGCGTCAATTATATAAGGTTTAGAACAAGGAAAATAGAAGTACGCATGTGCTAGAGATATTCTGTAAGCCTAATGAACAAAGAAACTCAAAGTGTGCATGTACTGGCAGAGAACAGATAAAAAGTGGGACAGGTGCATCATAGGCACGCACCTTCCTGTGACAATAAAGAGTTGTTAACCCCATGGTGTCTCCGGCTGAAGTCTGTCCGGAGGTATGGCAACTCCTCATGCATTTTTTTGTTTGGGCCGCTCACCTCCTAGAACCCCACATCAGCCTCCCTCGGCTGACACTCACATTTGTGTATATGGACAAAGATGATCTCTACAGGCCAAGAATCAGAGCTTGGAAGGGAAGCAGCTTACAGCTCCTTCCTTTCCAATCTTGGAAAAGTAAAGCTTACTTACCTTTATTGCAGATAACTGCTCATCGATTATTGGGCTCCTCCAGTGTCTCCATCCAGGTCACAGCTAAGGGATCGAAGACACACAAATAGATAATTCATCCTTGGGAAAATTTGGGAGTTCCAGTGGCCAGGAGAGTTGTTAATTCTAGGATTTCTGAGAGTTTGGAATCTTACGCTTTTTCTCCCCCTCAACTCCAGGTTTTTTTGATTGTGAATTTGAGATTCTCATTCTGTTATGCTGTTTGCAACACATACACTTAAGATGTTTGGTTTTGGCTTCAAATCTATGTATTCAGTTCAGTGCTATTGCTACTACATATCTTTAATTCACCTCTGAAATTTATAACTTGCAGCCTTTCTCTTTTTGATTTTTTAAAAAGTTTCTTTCACCCCCAAAATTAGCTTTCCCAGGTAATACTTCTAAAAATAGTCTCTGATGGGAATTTGGAAGCCTAAGAGATAGTTGTGTCATCCTGTCTTAGAACCATTGGCTGGAGAACATTCACAACTTTGGGGGTCCTCTCAGGTTTTTGGGCAAAGTTATACATGTTCTACACAAATATTACACATCCTTGCACATCTAAGCAAGATTTCTAAACTCAAATGAATAACTTACTAGCTGGATGGGTTAGGAGAGGGTTTTTTGGTTTATCATTTTTCATCAAGAGAAGACTGAAATCGTCAGTCATCTGCTTTTCTTGAGGACTGCGTTGGTCCTGGGCAGGGATGGTCTGGCGAGCTGAGAGGGAAGGATTCGTAGCTAAATTTTCCTACTCAAAGCCCAAACACGACACTTGGTTAGCTGATACAGGGATAGTTTCACCCTGCAAAGGGCCTAGGAAGCTACAGCTATTAGATACAGAAACGTCACTTCTGTGATATCCTAGCTGAACAGTCAAGAGAACTGGCTTCTGGTGCCATTAACCTGCAGTGCTTTGTGGATGAGTCACTTAGTCTGTCTTGGCCTCAGTTTCCTCACCTGTTAAATAAATGATTTGCATTTAGTTCTCTTTGGAACATCTGTATTACTTCATTACCAAATATTTAGTGAGCACCTGCAATGTACAAATCACTCTAATGAGTGCTAGGTAATCAGCATAAATCTAAAGACACTTTGGGCAATTAATTCTCCAAGGTCCAGTTTTTTCACATGTAAACACGTGTTTCAAGTAACTCCTATTTTATAGGATTTTGAGAATAACCTATATTCATGGGATACTTTATAAAGAGGCAAAGCGCATGGGATGTGCTCAAAGTGTGGTAGTTATTGCTTTGCCTGTTATGAGTGGGCGTTGTAAGCTTTACCCTCATGGAGCCTCTGAAGGGACGCAGACAGTTGCCGTACCATAAGGACTGGCATAAGGCAAGGTTTCTGAAGGTAGATCATATAACCTTCCGCCCAGCAGTTGCCTGAAAGCAGCGTGTGATTTTATGCTCTGAGTCTCAGGGTCTCTGTTTCTCCACCTTTCATAGTCAAAGTCATGCATAAGGTCTGTTCTTCTATAGAGTTGGCAAAATCTAGTTTCCAGACTGAGTAGTCATCTTAAACTTCCCAAATTTTCCCAAGTTTTCTTAGCTTAAGAACACTTGATTAATGTCAAAAACTTTTTGCAGATTTTCTTTGGTATAATTTTTATTTTACTAGTTATTGAGCAATTGTGAAAATACATAGTGACAAATATTACTACATAGAAATATATTTGAAGTCAATGTATGTGTTTAAATCTCAATAGTATCTACATACTTTGAAAACCAGTACTACATCATTTAGAGTGCTCCAGGGAAACTGACCCAGTAGTTAGGCCATGAATAACTTACATTATTATGGGGGCTGGCAAGTCTGAAATCTGGGGGAAGGAGCAGGCCAGCAGGCTGGAAACTCTTTGGGGAGAAGGCTGATGCTGCAGTGTTGAGGCAGAATTTCTCCTTCTTCAAGGAGCCTCAGTTTTGCTCTTAAAGACTCTCATCTGATTGCATGAGGCCTACCCACATGATGCAGGATGGTCTCCTTTACTTAGAGTTAGCTTATTAGAGATGTTAATCATGTCTACAAAATACCTTCATGACACCTAGATTAGTGCTGATTAAGTAACTGAGTATTAGAGCCTAGCCAAGTCGACTTACAGAATTGACTGTCACAAATACACAATTCTAAAAAGTATTTTGCTTATTCATTCTATAAACAAACAAACAAACAAACACTTAACAAGCTCATGGATTGAAGGGACTCTCTTTGGTCTGGGGGACAAGACCACACATTGGCCTCCTTAGGTTTACATCAATGAAGACAGCACGGTTCTTGAAGAGCCACGGCTGTTCTATACTTACAAGAACATTAGGCAAGTGTCCAATTGCTTTTCCCAGGGAAGACTCCAATTTTCCTTATATCAAAATTATTGGACATGCCTGACTTACGTGGGGACACTGCCCAGCAGAACAAACAGGCTTCTGAGAACTCTACACCTGTGATTTGTGATTCCTGTTTGTTGTTGAATACTTTTTTGTAAAAAACCCAGCTAGCAAAATATGACTGCTCCAACTGGCTAACAAAGGCAGCATGGAGAGGATTATGAATTATTACTAAACCATATTGATTTTTTGAAATGCTGGCTGAGATTTAAGAGGAAGCAGAAAAGCAAAATCCCTGATTGAGGAAGACAGGGCCTTATACTGGTAGAGAAACATCTTTATAGACATTTCTAGGAAAAATATATTTTTATAAAACTAAGTCTTTTCATCTTAAATGCATTTTCTCATTTTTTTCTCTTGCTGATTTTTTTCTCTCTCCCTTTCAGTTCCCCTGGACAAAGACTTTACAAAACAATGCAAATTTTTAGAGGCTCTGGTTCAAATAGATTGAAAGCAGCTAAGAAGAATTATTGCTGAACAAACATTTACCTAATCTGAGAAATTCCATGTTACATATTAGTTGTTAAAGTTGCGTGGTTTTGTCATTACAAGAAGCTTGAAAATGAGAAATCTTTTTTCTAATTCTAGACTAACCTTGGCACTGGCCAAATGTATTGCATCTCAAATTAATCTTTTAAAAAGGAATCCAGAGAAGGGAAATAAAAATAATTATAGAAATTGAAAAGGCATTTGAGAAAAAGTTAAACTCTTGTGAGAAGAATTCTAAGGGCAAACTTGATTTCTGTCTTTGAGAATTTGTAGGACATTTAGGAGTGGGAGGTTGGCCAGTTATACTCTGTCCACAAGGAAATAGTTGTAAGAAAATAATCTTAAATTAGTGGCAAGTGAGAACTCTGTTGGACATGGGAGGTGCTTGATCATATGGTGATAAAACACTGAAATTGCCTGCTGAGGGAAGCAATGCTGCCTTTCCCCCTAAACATGTATTATACTTGATAACAAATAGTCCTTGTTGAATAAGAAATTTCCCCGCCTTAAGATGGGAGGCTTACCACATATGTTTTCAGTCTCCCATGCAGCTCTCACCAGACTGAATTGAAACTTTTATGTACAAAAGTAGGTATTTATTGGATATATACCAGGTTAGTTTTTCTACGTTGCCATGACAAATTATCACAAACTTTTTGGCTTAAAATAACACAAATGTGTTATCTTACAGTTCTATTGTTCAGAAATTCAGGAGGAGTTTCACCTGTTGGCAGGCTATGCTTCTTTCTGCAGGCTCTAGGAGAGAAGCAGAGTGGTAAAATGACCAACTTTGTTTATTGCTGGGGTCTGAGAAAGTGCAGAAAGGAAGATGTTTAAATAGAATCCCTTAGAATGAATAGGAAGAAGAGATTCCAATCCGAGGGAACAGCCTGGACAAGTGAGGTGCACGGCGCAGGCAGGGCTATAAATATCTGGCATGTGTGAGTGTAGCTAGATAGTCTAGAAAGCTGGGGGCCTAAGGAACTGGGAGGTCATCTTTTTGGCAATGAGAAAAATTGGAAGAGTTCTAAAATAGGTTATGAAGGTCTGATTTTCATTTCAGGTCATTGATGCAAAACAAGTAGTAGCAGTAGGGATCAGAACTGGGAAAATAACTCAGAGAACAGTGCCTAAGTAAACTTAACAAGCCTTGGTGATGCATTTCTTGTGGTTGGTGAAAGGTTGGGAAAAGGCAAGGCTGATGCCCTGGTCTCTGGTCTGAATGACGAGGTTGATGATGGTGCCACCACCCACAATAGGGAACAGAGGAAGAGATTCTCGTGGGCACAGGTTGAGTGTCTGATACCTGCATGTGATCTGGGAACAGAGACTTGAAGCACAGAGAAGCGATTTGGACAGGAGGTGGTATGGATAGCATACACAAACTTCTAGAGTAGGGAGATCCCCAGACAGATCGTGCGAAAGGAGGCAAGAGAGACAATGTAAACTAGCAACAGTAACAGGATAAACAAAGCACGAGAAATCTGTAACAGAGACAGAGGAAAGGCGATAAACCATGCCTAGCAGAGAAGAAGAAAGCCACAAAAAGAAAGCAGCCATTTTTTTTAATAGTGTCAATTTTAATGGATGAATAAAGTTAGCTTGCCCAGATTTGATGGCTGAATTTGTAAATTAGGACATTAAATTGGTTGTCTCAGGGGCAAATTTCGGTTTCTTTATGTTAAGGAGTGAAAGAGAAAAAAGTAGCATTTGAAACAAACCAGTGGTCAATAATAATACTAAGTCATATGGTGCTAACTATGGTAGAATAGGAGTTTAGAGAAGGCGTATGTGACACCTGGTGAAATGGAAAAGATACATAACGAGATAG